TAACCCTTTTCTCTTTCCTCATCTCAGGTCCTAAAGAATCACATCAATGTGCAGGGCAGTGGTGGCGCACACCTTTAATACCAGCACTCGGGAGGCAGAGGCAGGAGGATCTCTGTGAGTTCCAGACCAGCCTGGTCTACAAGAGCTAGTTCCAGGACAGCCTCCAAAGCCACAGAGAAACCCTGTCTTGAAAAACCAAAACCAACCAACCAACCAAGAATCTCAATGTATTTCTGAAAATCTTTTCTGCTAGTTTCTCCTATGTTTTTTTCCCTTGTAGCTACAAAGATCACAGTCCCCTGGCTTAACTGGTCTTCTAGTAACACATAAAAGAGCTGTCTGGTTTTTTTTTTTTTAACCTCCATGGCTGTATGTTCCCAAGTCTCATGTCCTGCACATTTCATCCCCCACAAAAACTACATTATAACAACTCTCTCTCTCTCTTTCTCTCTCTCTCTCTCTCTCTCTCTCTCTTTCTCTCTGTCTCTGTCTCTGTCTCTGTCTCTTTCTCTCTCTCTGTTTGTCTGTTTGTCTCAAAAAAATCTTAGATGTATGAATGTTTTGCCTGTATGTCTGTGCACCACTTGCATGCCTGTTGTCCTCTGAGGCCAGAGAGGGTATCAGGTCCCCTGGAACTGGAGTTATAGATGGTTATGAGCTGACATAGGTGTGCTGAGAATAAAACCTGAGTCCTCTGGAAGAGCAGTCATTGAGATATTTCTCCAGCCCGGTGACAGCACTGTTCATGTTGCTGTACCTCTAGGGATGGGATGAAAAGCATCATTTTGTGTGTGTGTGTGTGTTTGTGTGTGTGTGTGTTTGTGTGTGTGTGTGTGTGTGTGTGTGTGTGTGTGTGTGTGTGTGTGTGTGTGTAAGGAAGGAAGGCCTGAAGAGGATGTTGGGTATCCTAGTCTATCACCCTACACGTTACTCCTTTAAGACATTCTCTCACTGAACATGGAGTTTGCTGATGGTCACCCAGTGATCTTTCCATCTATTCACTCTACAGTTCCGGTGTTACAGCTATCACAGGCTTCTTAAGTGGATTCTGGGGAATATGAACACAGGTCCCCCTGGCTTGCAAAACAGGTGCTTTTACCCACTGAGCCTGGGCTGTAACCCTTTTGACTTTGATCTCCATGGTCTGTCCCACACAGCCTACCCTACCTTAACCCCTCCTCACCTTTCAACCACCTACCTTGGAAACCAGCTCCAACACCCATCTATCAGTGCATCCCTGAGTCTCTTCATATATTTGAGGGTGGTGTCTAACACCTATTATTTTTAACAAGTCTTCCTCCAGACAACATGTGACTCCCCTGACCTTGTGCATTCAACACTGGTAGATACTATCCTCAGTACAGTCAGAGGCTAAACACTAGTGCCTAGACTTCAGTCACATCTGTAAACAGAATAAATAAATAGATAATAGAAATAATAATAAGATGAAGGTTGAGAAGTTTAAGTTGGATGTAATGCTATTTTGAATATACTTACTTTAAAGAAAAAGTAGAAGGATGTGACTATAGCACCTTCTTTATGAACTTCTAATATTTCTTTATTAAATCACGTTTGACAACACAGTCTATTTCCCATTCTTCCTTCTAGATAGCTTCCTGTTCTTCTCCCTGCAACCCCCAAATAAAGCCTTCCAATAGCAATTAGAATGACATCGGGGTTTTCC